TGAAAAGAACATATAAATGTAGTGGAGGTGTAACTCAAGATATAAATCCTTTTGCATACTATGCACAAAGATGATTGAAACATGACAAATACAATCCTATCTAGCTGTCTGATCAAATCATTGAGTGTGACTATAACCCTAACCCTTCATTATTTTAGTTTGTTATTTTTCATACTTCATACCTGTTTATGTATGTATGAACCATATACTGTGTATATACAGGTTCAAACTTTCATTCTGGTGTGGAAATTCTCTTTATAGATATTCAACTCTTTTGCTCTTTCTTTCTTGTGATATTGGTCCACATTCACATTGATGATAACCTATAAGATTTAAGTTCTATTACTGTAGAACATTATTAAACTGCCGGTGCAATACGAAAATGCAGCACGGATTTGTGGAATATCCATGCGACAACCATGCACACTGGGTCCGGTGCAAAAAAGTCACATTCTTGTGTTCTAATTTCGCACCAAACGAAATCAAGTTGCGGTTCATTGTCTGACAGAAAATGGACATAGAAAGTTGCAGCGATGACAATGTTATTTTCATTTTTATTTAACAAGGAAAAGAAGAGAGTGTTTTGGGTCCATCCTATTTTGGAAAGGCGTGCGGAACATGGAGAGTTCCATAGGCTCATCCAAGAGCTGCGCCTGTATCATTCACGCTACAGGCAATATTTCAGGATGTCGGTAGCACAGTTTGAAGCCCTTCTGGAGATACTGGGTCCTCACCTCAGAAGGACACGAACCAACTACCGTGAGCCAATCGATCCTGAGCAAAGGCTTGCTGTAGCCTATGTTTGAGGTAAGAAAGTCATTAAGGCTATATATGCTGTCTGTGAATGATCAACACAACAACACAGAGTCACAAAAACCAAACAACACAACAACACGAAGACACAACAAAACAACACAGAAACAATACAACAATAACACAACAATAAAACAACACAATGACACAGAGACACAACAACCAAACAACACAACAACACAAAGACACAACAACAAAGAGACACAAAGACACAACAACACAAAAACACAACAACCAAACAACACTGCTCCTATTGGACAAATAAACAGCTTCAGTCACAGAGTCAAGACTCTGTTAGTCCTCAAGAACACAACACAACAACCAAACAACACAACAACACTAAGACACAGAGACACAACAACTAAACAACACAACAACACAAAGACACAGAGACACAACAACCAAACAACACAACAACACTAAGACACAGAGACACAACAACTAAACAACACAACAACACAAAGACACAACAACCAAACAACACAACAACACTAAGACACAGAGACACAACAATTAAATAACACAACAACACAAAGACACAGAGACACAACAACCAAACAACACAACAACACTAAGACACAGAGACACAACAACCAAACAACACAACAACACAAAGACAGAGACACAGAGACACAACAACACAACAACAGAAAGACACAACACAAAGACACAGCAACACAAGAACACAGAGACACAACACAAAGACACAACAACACAACAACACAGAGACAGCTTCAGTCACAGAGTCAAGACTCTGTTAGTCCTCAAGAACACAACAACACAACACAACGACACAGAGAGACAACAACCAAACAACACAACAACACAACAACACGACAACACAAAGACACAACAACTAAACAACAAGACAACACAGAGACACAACAACCAAACAACACAAAGACACAACACAACAACACAACAACCAAACAACACAACAACACAAAGACACAACAACAAAACAACACAAGACACAACAAAACAACACGACACAGAGACACAACAACCAAACAACACAGCAACACAAAGACACAACAAAACAACACGACACAGAGACACAACAACCAAACAACACAACACACACAAAGACACAACAACAAAACAACACAAAGACACAACAAAAGAACACGACACAACGACACAACAACCAAACAACACAAAGACACAACAACCAAACAACACAACAACACAAAGACACAACAACAAAACAACACAGACACAACAAAACAACACGACACAGAGACACAACAACCAAACAACACAGCAACACAAAGACACAACAAAACAACACGACACAGAGACACAACAACCAAACAACACAACAACACAAAGACACAACAACAAAACAACACAAAGACACAACAAAAGAACACGACACAACGACACAACAACCAAACAACACAAAGACACAACAACCAAACAACACAACGACACAACAACCAAATGACACAACAACACAATGACACAGAGACTCAACAACCAAACAACACAGAGACACAACACAAAGACACAACAACACAACAACAACACAGAGACACAACACAACACAAAGACACAAAGACACAACAACACAACGACACAGAGACACAACAACACAACATCACAAAGACACAACAACACGAGACACAACACAAAGACACAACAACACAAAGACACAACAACACAACACAAGACACAACGACACAGAGACACAACAATCAAACAACACAAAGACACAACAACACACAGACACAAAGACACAACAACACAACATCATAAAGACACAACAACACAGAGACACAACACAAAGACACAACAACACAGACACAAAGACACAACACAAAGACACAACAACACAACACAGAGACACAAAGACACAACAAAACAACACAACGACGCAGAGACACAACAACCAAACAACACAACAACACAGAGACACAACAAAAAACACAGAGACACAACAAAAACACAACAACACAAAGACACAACAACACAACACAGAGACACAACATCACAGCAACACAACAGCAGAACGACACAAAGACACAGCAACACAACACAAAGACACAACAACACAAAAAAACGAAGACACAACAACACAACAACACAGAGACACAACACAAAGACACAACAACACAGAGACACAAAGACACAACAACACAGAGACACAACACAAAGACACAACAACACGACACAAAGACACAACAACACAAAAGACACAACAAAACAACACAACGACACAGAGACACAACAACACAAAGACACAACAACCAAACAACACAACAAGAAAAAGACAACAAAACAACACAGATACACA